TCGACCAGCTGCCTCTTGCACATCCCCTACTGGGGATGTGCCTGCAACCAATGTACATGCCCTTGACCAGAATCGAACCTGGGACCTTCAGTCCGCAGACCTACAGCTGAGCCAAACTGGTCTCGGCCAAAACATTTTGTTTTGTTAACTTCTAATTGTTTTACAAATTTTATAATCAAAGTAAAGCTGAATCAGAATGGGGGGGGGGGGGGGGACAAAAAAAAACAAAACGGTAAGGCCGAAACTGGTTTGGGTCAGTGGATAAGAGTGTCGGCCTGCGGACTGAAAGGTCCCAGGTTCGATTCAATTCCGGTTAGTTGTGAGCACATCCCCAGTAGGGGGTGTGCAAGAGGCAGCTGATCGATGATTCTCTCTCATCGATGTTTCTAACTCTTTATCTCTCTCTCTTCCTCTCTGTAAAAAATCAATAAAATATATTAAGAAAGAAAAAAACAGGTAAGGATACACAGAAAGAAAAAGGATCCACTGAGCCCAGGGAAAAAATAGTCTATAATTCCTATAATTCAACACTTCAATTGCCAAAGCAACCATCCCCAAATTACACACATACCAGTTATATTTGCCACTTGGAATTCAGGAGAAAAAATGGTAAAATAGTTGTCAGGTGAATAGTTCCAGACATGCCCAACAAGAGTCTATCCCATGACATTTCTAAACATAGTCTGAGTTCTAGACTCATTTATAGCTGGAGGCAGTGTAGTATGGAAAGAGCACAGCTGTGGAACCTGTGGACCTGTCAAGAGTTGGGCAGAAATCCTAGCTGCCAATTACTATCTGATCCAACAAAATTCATTTAACTTTTTTGAGTCCTAATTTCCAGATTTTTAAGAGAATATTGCCTTCCCTAACCCGTTTGGCTCAATGGATAGAGCGTCAGCCTGCGGACTGAAAGATCCCAGGTTTGATTCCGGTCATGCCATCTACGTTGGTTGTGGGCACATCCTCAGTAGGAGGTGTGCAGGAGGCAACTGATCGATGTTTCTCTCTCATTAATGTTTCTAACTCTCTATCCCTCCCCCTTCCTCTCTGTAAAAACAAAACAAAACAAAACAAACAATAAAATATATCTTTTAAAAAAAGAGAGAGAATATTGTCTATCATAGAGGTTTTACAAGAAGTAAAGATAATACAAATCAACGAACAGCATTATGACAAAAATAAGTACTCAATAAATAGATGTATATTACCCTCATCCCTTCTCTATTACCTTCTCTGTTACCATCTTTTTGTATCCCCTATCCTGCAGTGAGCACCCTAACTCAGCATTCATTAAATAGAACTTAATCAGAAAATCTGCATTTGATTCTAGGCATTATCTCTTATGAGATATGGAACTTTCAGTACAGAAATTTTAACTTTTACTTATACCAAAGTGCTCCTACTCAAAAATATCTCCTCCAAGATGAAGTGTGCACAATGAGCAAATGAGCATAAACTGATGTCATAGGAGGAAGAAATAAACTACTAAGTAGCTCACTGATGAGATCCCTTTTATACTCCCAAACTTTAAAATATACTTGTTAACCTAAACAAAACTCATTTATTGAAGGAAATCCAAGTCAAAATTTTAAATTAAGATGTTTCTGCCCTTACCCAACATAGCAATTTGCATTCTGAGAAACCTTTCTTAAACAGTCTCTACTCATTTTAGCTTAGCTCACTTCCTATTCCCCCACAATAGTCTCCATGATAAAGGCAGTGTGGACCTTTAGTAGAGTGAATAGAACTGTCTAGATAAGTGTGTTCAAATTGAAGAGCAACTGTCCTTGACATAATCTACTAAAAACATTCAAACTGGCCAAAAGATGGAAAAAAGGCAAAGATTTTTCTGTGTCTCTCTATAAAAAACACTTTCTATTTTAAATGTTATTTCCCTGAAACAATTTCAAAAATCCTGTCCTGTTTGAGAGAATGTACTTTTTGGCAAATTTTGCTATTTATAGTACGATTTAATAATTAAAGTCATTAGGAAGTAAAAAAAAAACTAATGAAGAACTCAAAGACTCAACCACACTACAGCCAAAAGAACCTGTCAACGAAACACCTTAGAAATCTAGCCTAGCTGGTTTGGCTCAGCGGACAGGACAGCAGAATGCCAACTGAAGGACCCCAGGTTCTATTCAGGTCAGGAGCACATTGCCTGGGTTGTGGGCCCGATCCCTGGTGGGGGGCATGCAGGAAGGCAGCGAATCAATGTTTAGCTCATCATTCATGTTTCTATATATCTCTTTTTCCCTTCCTCTTTGAAATTAATAAAAATCTATTTTTAAAAAAATACTTTGGTGTAACTGGACTGTACTTCCAAATTGTAGAAAGAAAACAAAATGAAAACTGAATTCTCAATATAAAAATCACCTAGGCAATAATTTAACTAACCTTAAGAAAATTCTCAAAATGTAAGCAACATATTTTCTCTGAGAGGAGATTATTTATGTAGGGTGTTGATTATAACCCAACTAAGTATACAAAGAATACAGAAAGATCTCAAAAGACATTCAAATGAGTATTTTTAGTTCTCTTGGTTCCCTATGCACATCACCAAAGTTAGCAGTACAACAGCTCACAAATCAGCTACCACATCAACTTCCACAAAATCTTCATCTTTTTCTAAGCCTGTCTGAGCCTCAGGATGGCACCTAATGCATCATGCAGTCCAAAGTTGAAAGGCTACTAAAATAAACATCTTTCCCCCAGTTACACCAAAATACCTCACTGATGAAAAGTTTAGGACCACAAAAAAGAAAATTGGAGCCACTACTGGTGGCTCTTGGTATCATGGTACTAATAGTACTAGCATGTTTAAAAGAGGCTACATGAGAAATAATATGGCTTATTTTAATCAGGGATATTTCCAATAAGTTTAAAAGTGCTTCAGCCGAAACGGGTTTGGCTCAGTGGATGGAGCCTGCGGACTGAAAGGTCCCGGGTTCGATTCTGGTCAAGGGCATGTACCTTGGTTGCGGACACATCCCCGGTGGGGGGTGTGAAAGAGGCAGCTGATCGATGTTTCTAACTCTCTGTCCCTCTCTCTTCCTCTCTGTAAAAAATCAATAAAATATATTTTTTTAAATAAAATAAATAAATAAAAGTGCTTCAAAGTTACATGATGGTAGCAGGAAAAGGAAAGCGTCAGGTAGGGGGGAGGGAAAGCTTTACAGCAGACAACTACCTGGAAAAGAAATAGTTTATCCAACTACCAGACAGGATAAAACATGTTGGAATTTGCCAATACTTAGTAGTTACCACACCATATATTTGTCAGACTTTCCAACATGCAAAACAAACAAACAAAAAAAGCCACCTTTCTGAAGTACTTATCTTCTGACTTCTATAAAGAAATTACTTCTGGAATGGGGGCAAATTAACTTCCTCCCCTATCTTCTTGACTCAATTAAAATCCTTACTACCTTCAGCAAACTAACCATCACCTCAATTTGAAAGCTTTTCATGTTAAGTTGAATAAAAATTGTTATTCTATTTGAAAACTGTATTCCCACTCCTAGATTTTAGAGTATTTTTAAAAGGCTAAATATAAAGTTTGTAAAAACAAGAAATACAGTAGATATGGCAGTCATTCAACAAGTTTATCAGTAAAATTCCTCAAGTAAAAGTTTTAAAAAAAAAAAAAAGTGAGATAAATTCCTAGTATTGCTACTGAAGATACAATGTTACTAATATGGAAACTGAGAAATATTCAAAATATTCTGAAAACAGAATCTCCTTCTAAAAATAAGGAGGAAAAGCATTTGCCAACATAGAAACTACTGGTTCTTAAAAATGATAATCACATGGGAGGCTTTCTATAAATACTTTAGTTCTGAATTGCAATAATCCTAAACTTTCAAAGCATATTCTGGTCATGCCTTATCACTAACAAGAGAATTTTTGGTGCCATTATATTGATACAGAGTATTCTGCTACTTTTTTTTACTTCAACTACAAACTGTTGGCTTATGAAAAGATCCATAAACCAAATTACCACACCATAATTCACTTTCAATCATTAAAATAAAAACAACAAGTATCTGTCGTAGTTAAGGCCCCCAACTTTTTCTAATAAATCTACAATAACTAATACCGTATGGTTCTAAAACTGCATATGTACGGTAATCAATTTGGAGGCATATCATACACAATTTATTAAGTTGGAAGGAGAGAAACCTTCAGGAAATAAGCAACCGGCGATTACACCATTCTAGCTTATTTAAGAAGCCAACAATTCAATAACTTTTGGGGAAGGGAGAATTCAAGACATCTCCCAAGCAGTTAAAAATCATTTGTTTTAGAATAACGACAGCCCTAACCACCGCTGGACATGCACTATGGTGGGGCGGAAGTGAAAACGTTGGGGGGGGGGGGGGGGAGCCCGACTTGGGGCAGGCGGACAGATGCAAACCTCCCTCCCAGGAGAGGAATTGTGAGACGAACTTCTCTTAAACGTCCCCCCTCGTTTCCCATCCGCTTCCTCCTCTCCTCGGGGAGGTCTGTGTAATTGTGACTCATGACAAAATTTTTAAGCAAATAAATAAATAAATAGATAGATAGAGACACACCCTCCGGGTTGAACTGACACAGCCGCCCCCGCGGCACCCTCCCTCCCCGGACACACACCCCGCTTCTCCTCTCCCTCCGGCGGCTCCTCCCCGCCTCTCCCTCTGCCCTCGCCCTCCGGCCCGGACCCTCCCGGAGGGAGGCGCCGAGGCTGCCGCGGGGCTCCGCGCACGAGCCGGCGGAGGGCAGGCTGCCGCCGGCCACTCGGGGGCCGAGCCCGCGGTGGGGCTCCCCCGCCCTCGCCCGTGTTCCCTCTCCCCTCCGATGGGTCTCAACCACCTCCGCCACTTCCTGTATCGCAGGCGACTCCCTCGGCGCGACCGCCGGCCGCCGGGGCTGGCGGCGGGACCGGCGGCTCCGCACCCGCCCAGGGCGGCGGCGGCGGCGGCGGCGGCGGCGGCGGGGCCCGGCCGGCCCGGCGCGCTCACCTGTATGTAGTTGTTCTCACAGTAGTCCGCCACCCGGGTCAGGTTCTGGTAGCTCTCGATCAGCGCCCTCTTGCCAGACGGGATTTCCTCCTCTAGTAACATCTGCAGCTCTGCCATTTTCCTCCCCTCCGCATCGCTTCCCCTCGCGTTAAAGGGACAGGCGGCCGGTCCGCGGAGGCTCCGAGCTCGCAGCCCGGATACAACCCCTCACCCGCCCTCCCGCCCAGGATTGTGGGGCTGCGCCTCCTCCGCTTCCTCCTCGCGGTCCCCACCCCCTCCACCCACTTCGCGCGACGCTTCCTGCTCGTTCTCTCGCGAGCCTTCAGCTTTGCCCTCCTCCTCCCCGACCACAGGCTTTTTTTCTTTTTTTTTTAACCCCTCTGACATGACCTTCTGGGATTTGTAGTTTCCCACAGCCTCCCCGTCGAAAGCGCATGCGTCCTAAAGAGAACACGACTGCGGGGAGAGTTGGGAGAGAGGGAAAGTGGGGAGTTTCCTAAAAGCTCCTGAAGGAGGCGCCTCAGGGTGATTTCAGAGAAGAAAACATCCCCCCTTCCCCCTAGAAGGCTGTGAAACTGCAGAACTTTGAACATGGAGCCTACCTCACCCAATGCTCCCAAACTTTATTCAGGATTTATCATAGGTCTCAATATAAATGTAAAGCAATAAAGTATCTGTAGGAAAGCATAGAGTAATTTCACAAGCTTGGGCAGGCAAAAGTTTCTTAACTAGAATACAATTAGTACTAACAAAAAAAGGGGGAAAATGATAAATTGCTCTTTATTAAAATGAAAATACAACTCATTTTTTTCCTGTTGCTGTTATAACAAATTTAACAAGATAAAACTAATTTACTCTCTTACAGATCTGGAAATCAGAAGTCTTGGTTGGCTAAAATTAATGTGTAGATAGGGCTTGGTTCCCTCTGGAGGTGCTAATGAGAATGCATTTCCTTGCCTTCTTCACCTTGTAGAGCCTAAATGCATTCCTTAGTTCACAATCCCTTCTTCCATCTTCAAGTCAGCAGGAGAGCATCTCTAATCTCTCTCTGACTCTGCTTCTACCACCACATCTCCTTTTCTCTGACTCTGACCATCATCCCTCCCTCTTATTAGGACCCTATGATTACATAGGTTTCACCTAGATAACCCAGGATAATCTCCCTATCTCAAAATCCTTAACTTGATTACATCTATAATGTCCCTTTTTGCCTTGTAAAATAATATACTCACTGTTTCCAGAAATGAAGACATGGACATCTATAGTCAGCCTACTATAGCCATTATTAAAATTAAAACATTTTGTTCGTTAAAGGACACTATTAAGAAAGTAAATAGAACCCTGGCCAGTGTGGCTCAGTTGGTTGGAACAGTGGCCCATACTCCAAAAGATGGCTGGTTCAATTCCTACTCAGGGCACATACCCAGATTGCAAGTTTGATCCCAGGTCTGGCATGTGTGGGTGGCAGCCAAACAATGTTTCTCTCTCTCTCTCAAATAAATTTTAAAAATAAATAAAAAGATAAGCCATACCAATACCCTTGAAAGAGGAAGCATTACAGAAAATACATTTTTAAATCAAGCTCCTCCAAGTCAATTAAAAGATAAACAAATGAATAAAAAATGTACAAAAGAAGACAACTGTACTTAACAAGAGGCCAAGAAATATATGAAAAGGCATTCAACGCATTACTCATCAAGAATATGCAAACTAAAACCATGACAAGATAACAGTACATTATAAGAATGCAGTGCAAAATTAAAAAGACTACTTGCATATCCATTAGAATGGCTAAAATTTAAATCCCAATAATAGCAAGTGCTAGTGAAATGTGAAAAACTAGACTCAAATACATTACTGGCTACAAACTGCTATAGCCCTACTGAAAAAGTTTATTAATGTATTATCAAGCCAAACATACAGCTAATTTATAACCCAGCATTCAGTTTGCAAATATTTACCAAGAGATGTGAAAATTTATATCCATCAATATCCATTATATAAATGTTTTAATAACTTTACTCATAATCGCAAAAAGTTGGGAACAATGCATATGTCCTTTAATTTGATAAACAAACCATATTCCCAAACAATAGAGTACTGTTCAGCTATAAAATGAAATAAACTATATATAAACATAGTCATGGATGAATCATAAATGCATTTTGCTAAGTGAAAGAAGCAAGACACTCCACTCCACATCCCAAAAAAGGCAGACAATATCTAATGTTGACAAGAATGTATTGCATCTAACACACACACACACACAGACACACACACGCACATGCACGCACACACACACGCACATGCACACAGTAGGGTATATGTATGAGTATCCTAATATATAAAAAGTCAGGTTCCATCATGACTGAAACAACCAGACAGATGAGCAAACAGCAGGCTGTGTGGTGTAAGCAGGCGGGACAGGGGGTGAGTGAGGGATGACCAAACCACTGGACAGCAGGCTGCAAGGGGAGATCAGGCTGAGGGGAGGAGGGGGGAAGCAATTGGGAATCACCAGGCTGGTTGGGGGGTAGGAGGAGGAAGTTGGGGTGACCAGGCCAGCAGGGGGCAGTTAGGGATTATCAGACCTGCATGCAGAGGTGGTTAGGGGTGATCAAGCTGGTGGGGGTGTGGGCAGTTAGGAGAGATCAGGAAGGCAGGCAGATGAGCAGTTAGGAGCCTGGATTGTGAGAAGGACCCGGCCTAAACCGCAGTTGGACATCCCCCAAGGGATCTGGCTGGGCTGAGAGGGAACCCCCTCCTGTGCATGAATGTGCATACTCTAGTACAAGTATAAAAGTGCACAATCACTTTGGAAGTATCAATGTGGTTTGGCTGTACATATTTTTTAAAATCCTCACCAGAGGATATTTTTTTCATTGTTTTTTAGAGAGTGGAAGGAAGGGAAGAGCAGGGAGAGCACAAGAGTGTGAGAGGGAGAGGAAAACACTGAGGTGAGAGACACATAGTTTGGTTGCCTTCCAAACATATGCGACCAGGGCTGGGCATCAAACTGAAACTGAGATACATGCCCTTGACTGGGAATTGAACCGGCAACTCTTTGTTCCATGGACTGACACTCCAACCATTGAGCAAACCAGCCAGGGTTGGCAGTTCATATTTCATTGATTTTAGAGTGAGGGGAGGTTGAGAAACAGAGAGAGAAATCTACAACCATTGGTTGCCTTCCGCACATGCCCTGACCAAGGCCTGAGATCCAGCTTCAATCAAGGTACTGGTATGTGCCCTTGACTGGAATCGAATCCAGGACCCTTCAGTCTTCAAGGTGACAATCTATCCACTGAGCCAAACCAGCTAAGACATCTGTGCTATTTCTGTAATATCTGAATTCTTTTTCATGTGTAGCCACCAAAATACCTAACCAGTTATTTTAATAGTAAACAAATATTAAATGGAGATTTCCTTTCTTTCAACAAAGAAGTGTCCTAGCTTTTGCTGAGTAGCTGTTTGTGTGCTTGGCATGTCTTTAATTCTCTGGCAGTAGGTTTTCAACTCTGCCTTCACATCTAATTCAGTAGAAGCTCAGAATTAGGGCCTTCTCAGTGTCTTCTGGGCATATGCGCAACTCTGCATACGTGCAAGGGGTTCGAGACTTCTAAAATATGCTTTTCTGAGCTCTTCTTGGATATCTCATTCTCCAGATTTCCCTTTTAAGTTTTTGAGTAAGCCTTTTACTTGCCCCAACATTTATTGCTGCCCCAGTCACTGCAATAATAAACAATTTCAACTGATTGGTTTTGATTAATTCCCTGAGGATAAAGCTATTGGCATTGAGTAAGTTCTGAGTCAAGTAAGAAACAAACTCGTAGACACAGACAACAGTATGGTTGTTACCAGAAGGGAAGGGGGATGAGGAGAGGGGAAAGAGGGTAAAGCGGGGCAAATATACTGGGTGGGGGAAAAATAAGTTTAAAGTTATTTTTGGAAAATAATACAGTAATTAATAAATAATACAAGAATAAACTATTTCTCATGCTATCAACTGTAAACCTACTTTTGTCCCACCCTGCGTAGTGATGAAAGGAGATTAAACTTTGGATGGTCAGCCCACTATGCAATATACAGATGATAATTATGGAATTGTACACTTGAAACTTATATAATGGTATTAAACAATATCACTGCAATAAATTTAATTTTTTAAAAAAATATATTTTATTGATTTCAGAGAGGAAGGGAGAGGGAGAAAGAGATAGAAACATCAATGATGAGAAATAATAATTGATCAGCTGACTCCTGAACATTTATTGGGGATGGAGCCTGTAATCTGGGCATGTGCATTTGAAGGAAATCCCAGATCTTTCAGTCCTTGTGCTGATGCACTATCCACCGAGCCAAACCAGCTAGAGCAACATAATAAATTTAATTTTTTTTAAATATATATTTTATTGATTTTTTTTTACAGAGAGAAAGGGAGGGAGATAGAGAGCTAGAAACGTTGATGAGAGAGAAACATCGACCAGCTGCCTCTTCTTGCACATCCCCCACCGAGGATGTGCCCGCAGCCAATGTACATGCCCGTTGACCGGAATCGAACCTGGGACCTTTCAGTCCGCAGACAACACTCTACCACTGAGCCAAACCGGCTTCAGCATAAATTTAATTTTTTTTAAAGCCCTGAAAATTGGGCTTTTCCAGGGAGCTGCTATCCAGATCAAATAGTGACAATTCTCTAGGGATGGAACTTTTGGGGGCACTCCAAATCTGTTCCTCCTCCTCAAGTGGGTCCTAGATTGCTGCTTTTCAAAGCACTGTGATTTCCGGTCAGTTTGTTTTCTTTTTCAAAATATTTGTATTGATTTCAGAGAGGAAGATAAAGGGGGAGAGAGAGATAGAAACATCAATGATGAGAGAGAATCGTTGATAGGCTGCCTCCAGCAGTCCCTCAGGCATGTGCCCTTGACAAGAATCAAACTGGGGAACCCTTCAGTTTGCAGGCCCACACTCTATACACTGAGCAACATTGGCTAGGGCTCTGGCGGTTTGTTTTCAAGGCTACTACAGAGATAGGGAGAGAAGAATGAAAATAGGGCAAGTTAAAATACAACAAAGCTTGTTATTCTGAGAATCAGAGATTTTTTTAAAATAAATCT